TTTAATGATTCTCTAACGTTGGCTTGCCTAGCAAGTGAAATGTTAGGCACCATCACGGTCCCGGCGGTAGAAAATTTCGGGTCGTGACAAAGACTTTTTAATCGTGCCAGTAGAAACTATAGCGAATTCATAATACTAAAGAAAATAATTTACTCCATATTAGACTGAAATAAGTTTAAATGAAGCGACATGAGTAACAATGATTCATTTAGCTGACCCAACCGTCTTGGGATTGAGATGTAATTGTTATTGTACGTAATTAGGGGTAGCAAATGTGCGGATCAGATCGGATATGAGGCGGGTTGAAAACGGGTAATGAAAAAAAAAAACGGACAAATTATCCGACCCGACCCATATTTAATATAAATAAAAACGGGTTAACCGAACCATATTATCCATGACTTCTTGAATATGATCACTTTTGGGAGAATTTCTAGTCTCCCAAACTTGAGGAACCCCAATTTGAGGTTTTACAAATGTAAAAGTTAAACACATTAGTTATCTATTTTCTAAATGGATAATATGATTCTTATCCATATTTGACCCGTTTTAAAAAAAAATCATTATCCAACCCATTTTTTACTGGATAATATGGGTGATTAATTATTTTCTTTTAACCATTTTGCCAATCACTATACGTAACAAAATACCCTCTCTATGGTCATGCACAGAAAATGAAAGAGAGTTCAGCGAAACCTTTGCCACAACGAAAAAAATCATTATCATAACCACAAAACCTTCTTGAGCTATCTTTTTATGGGCTGGGAAAAATCTCATTTTTCAGTTAAGACGGAAAAGAGTACTTCATTTTTCTTGACAACTTTTTCTACTGAAAGTAGAACTACTAGCTTAACTCTGAAGATGCAGATTCTATGAGTAGTTTGCCTTATAGATGCCTTAACAGCAAAATCAAACCATCACTCAGGTTCAAGAAACTGAAGTTTTTCAATTCTCAAAGAGGGGAGCTTGGTGAATTTGTGCTCATCATAAAACCTGTATTCTATTAGAAGTGAGACAGAGGCACAAGGTACACTTTTGCCTTCCGATTATGACAGTAATAAAATAGCTCTTACATGATAAACGATAAAGGGAACGCCTTCCATCTCAAAGCAAACAAAAATAACAACCTGTTCTGGACTCAGAAGAGTACTCATTACTGATAAAGAGCAGAAACTTTTATCCAAGACTAGGATGCAAGCAAATGGCATCATTATTTGGGGATGAAATGAAAAAACCCCAGACAACGGAGTTTTACTAAGAAATCTAGAAGTAGTTGCTGCTGTAAAAGTTTTTCAGGAAATTAGAGCTGCCCTGATCTTTGTGTTCAAGGTCCTGCACAAGACCTTGGTTACCGACGACGTATTTGCCAACAATATGGTGCCTCTGCTTTGAGTGGTCCACAACGTTCTTCAACTCTTCCATGCCCTTAAACAGCAGCATGTCAATTACCTGTAGGATAGAGATGAGTTATGAAGACAATGGGACAACCTACCTTTTGCTGCATAATTGAACACCGACATTTTACTAAAACATTTTTCTTACAAGGTAAGTAAATTTCATTTAAAGAAAGGAGCAAAGCCTGTAAACAAGAAGTATACCAAAAAGTAGAAAACCTAAAGAAACATTTTACTGAAACATATAATAGGATGGTAGTGGACACCTATCAAATTATCATAAATAGCAATATGCATCTTGATGAGAATTCTCATGGGGCAAGTTTTACTTCTAGAAGGATAACAATATATGAACTCGAGGTGTAAAGCAATACCTGGAAGTTTCTCTCTTCTCTTTTTGTCCTTTCCCAATTTATTATGTTTCTGGGTAGGGGGTGTAGGACGTGCCTTAAGGGAATAAAAATTGTTGCCAAGGAGGCTAAAGGGGTGCAGAAGATTACTTTAATTACTCAGATTACATAGAATCTTTTTTCAGGGTGACCACCTTCCCAACCAGAAGAAAATAAAAAGAACATATTGTGTTCATAAGTTTGATAGAGAGGGCAGTATGGCTGGATAGATATTGGCTAAGGCTACACTATTGGCTAAATATTTGAGTCTATGAGGGAAGACGAAGCAATGTTACAGTTATTTTCTTTGATCTCCATTATTGTACAATGATAATGTCAATGTGATCCTTTCAATTAACCGGGACACTATACAACTAAATACTCTATTTTCCTAAAAATCACTCACCAAATAAACAGAGATGATCATACTTCTCCACCTGAACACCAACCCCC